GCAGATCGCTTCGGGTCCTTCCTCGTCCATTTTAAGGAGAAGGTCGGCCTGGAAGATCTGCAGAATCGCCATAGTGTGCAGCGCTGAAACTGCTTGCCCGGCGGCGGTGTAAGCGCGTCCGTGCAAAGCTGACGTCACTCGGCAGGCTTTAGAGGGGAGCGTCGTGTGAGCTGGCTCCACAGGGGGAACGGAGAGGTATCCTCTGTCCTTCGCACCATCCACCGTGGAGAAAGCAGCCGAGGCAGAGGTACGCAGCCTGGCGGAGAAGGGGGCGTTCCACGACTTAGTCACTTCCTCGTGTAGTTCAGGGAGGAAGGGGGCGGGCCTTGACTTCGACGGAGCTTCGTCTTTCCCGAGAAAGCGTCCGTCCAGTCTGTTGCGCGGCGGTTGCGCGGGCGCCTCCCAATCGAGGCCGATGCTTTCTACGGCCTGAGAGAGCAGACGCATCAGCTCAGTCTCAATGCCGGTTCTCTTACCAGTAGTTTGGCGGGAAACGCTAGCGGAGGGGAGGTCCACGGAGCTCGCCCAATCCTCGCTATCGGATGCCAACAGAGAACACGCCTCGGTGGGTTCGTCGAACTCGTGGACGGACGCGGCGGCAGGCGGCAGGCCGTTGTCCGTCGGTGAGCGACTCGAGCGAAGCCGGCGAAGCTGGCGGGCGAACCGGCGAGCTTTGGCCGGCTGGAGAGAGCTCGGGAGCACGCTGGGTGCGGCGCTTCTTGCGGCGCGGCACCACGGCGGGCTGCGGTGAAGGCTCGGAGAATGATGCCAGGCGAGTCCTCAGAGTCAGCATAGGCAAAAGCTCGCAATGAGGGCATCCGCCGTCAGCGAGCGCGATGGCCGCGTGATCCTCACCCAGGCAGGACACACAGATGACATGGCGGTCTCCGTTGCTGAGTGGGGCGCGGCACGAGCCACAGTAAGGCATCTTTAAAAAGACGCAGCTCTTTTGTGACGAGAAGTGAAAGTCGCGTCAAGTAAGCGAGCTAACACTTCTCAGCAGAGTTAAATACAGAGGTATATAAAAGGATATAGCACGCCGGAAAGCGCAGCAGGTACGGCAGTTGAAGGCGGCGAGGCCAGCGACTCCAGAAGCTCGTCCCGCTGAAAAGCTTGCTTCGACGGCGCGGCTTCTCACTCCGGATCCAGCGATGCGTGTGCTTCGCTGAAGAGATGAAAATCAGCTTGTATCAGCCTAACGAGCATATTTATAGGGCAAGACCACGCCCTTTCTGGCGGGACGTGACGATATGGGCGCGGGTTGCCCCCATTGGTCATTACGTCACGCAAAGTCTCTCGATAGGCTGCTGCATTTGCCGCAAGAGCAACCAATAGGCGCGCGAGCTGTCTCGCCTGTGTCTGCTTGCTGCTGCAAAGCGTTTTACATTAATAAAAAATTAAGGATAATTTTTGGCTTCAATATCTCGTGGAAAAGAGGTTTTCCCCTAGCGTAAGCTATTACGCAGTACGAGAGATACTCTCGTAAGAGAACGGCACAGGTTTTGTGAGATTGGCTAAAAATGGCATAATCATAATTTAAAGACCACTGGGAATGTTTAAAAATAGCTCAAAATATGATCGGAGTGGGACTTTAAGTTATTTATTTGCTTGGTGCGGTGAGACTGTTTGCAAGTCTTCTATATCATCACTGAAGATGTTTTGCATATAAAAATTATTTTACCAGCAGCTGACATGCATTTTGCTTTATTACTTTTCACAGATATGATTTTTTTTGTTTTTGCCCAAAATGTGTTGCCCAAAACACAGCTACATTTTTGTCTGCAAAAAACTCATCCAAAATCATTTTAAAAAAGTAATAGTACAATCTGAGAGGTATCATTCAGGTAGCCTATACATCTATCGTGAGTTTAGCTATAGTCTTAACAATAAAATCAGATGCCAAAACTCGTTTATATAAGCTGAATCGTTTATGTAAATGAGACCTTTTCCACTCATGTATGTGACACATCTTGTTTATTTTCCAGACAGTTTAAAACGGCAGCAGGATTTGACTTCAAGCGTATCAAGACTGGCCTCTGCCCTCTTCTGGTTGGGATTTTTGATCTTTTCTTCATCTGACATTTAAAACCCCCACAGAGAGGAGAGATGAAGGCAAAGGGACAGAACATTCCCAGAGGTCTTCAACATACCTGAACTACACACTGTAAGTCCCCAGTAAGGGCCTAACAAGAGTGACATGTTACACTGGACTGGAGTAATGCTGCTGAAAATTCAGCTTTGCCATCACAGGGATAAATTACATTTAAAATAAAAATACAGTTATTTAGGGGCCAAGCAATGTAGGCCTTTTGCAATCGTTAGTTGTCGTCTTCTAATTCTTCTTCTTTTTCTTCCTCCTCTTTCTCTCTTGAGTCTATGGCAGCCCATAAAACTAAAAGTAGTAGAATTTGGCACACAGATAGAGGACAGTCTGAACATTTCTGGACAATTTTGGAGTCTCTAACTCAATCCCGGTAGCACCGCCAACCGTCCAAATTTGCACTCATGTTTATGCTAATAACTTTTGAACTGTATGGGCTTGAAACAACTTTTTTTCTCAGATTCCTTGGCTCAAGACGATTCGATTTGCATGACGTCATTTTCGTCATAAATTTTTTTTTGCCATTTTGAATTTTCCTTGAAAAACTACTTTTTCGAACGCCTCCTAGACCTTCTCCTAAATCGAACCAGATCATCTTCAGACAATGCCGACAAAAAACATGGAATTCAAGTTGATTAGTCAAACCGTTCTCAAAGAACTCAAACGAATTCTACAAAGAGAATGCCAAAGTGAACGTTAGGCTGTATCTCTGCAACACTTTAGCGTATTCAGACCAAACTTGGTGTGTGTTATGACAACCATGACCTCAGGGTACCTGCTCAGTTTTGGCACAGTGCCACCTAGTGATCAGGAGACTTAAAAAATATATATATTTGCTTATAACTTCTGTAAATAAATGCAGCCTTGGTGAACATAAGAGACTTCTTTCAAAAACAAATCAAATTTCAAAATCTTACTGACTGACAGTAGTGTTAAGTAATCTTTTTGGTATGCTTTTTAAAAGATAGACAATACAGGATGGACTGCACAAACTCTTCAAATATCGTGCTTATTGCCCAAAAAGATAAGATAGTAAGATAGATTAGCATAGAGTGTAAAAAAATAAGGAGACATGCAGTAGATAGCTTAGCTTAGCATTTGATCTTTTTGGACTAGACTGGAACTAGGTAGTGCATTGAATGCTTTTATTTCAAAAGAACAAGGAAAATTTTATTCCTCACATAACTGAAGCAAAAAAGACCAAAGTGTATCTTGACCACATCACTGCTGTCATATGAATTAAACCTCAGCATGCACTGTTTTGGCAGAGTTATTACCAAAAACAAAATGTACATGGGTTTTCATTCTGTCCTGGCAACACAGACCCTCTGCCACACCCGAACACCCCCACCTTGATGTCTCGAGTCAGTCAGTCAGACAGCGAGTGTGGCTTCATTTATCTTTGTTAGTCCACTGCTGCTCTGGAGGGATAATTAGTCCTGTGTGGGTTGGAAGAACCAGCCAAGGAAAAAAATGCGTGTGGAGAGAGAGAGAGAAAGAGGGAGACCCAGGTGTGTGAGCTTCTGTAAAACTACACAAAGCAAATCCTTTCAAAGGGATAGTGCTTTTAACCCTTTTGAGGTAGTGTCACATGGGACAACATCCCAAAAGGAAAAGCAGACTCTAAAAAGTGCTGCCTTCTCACCTTGTGGATTGTGTATGTGTGTGGAAAAGAGAGGGAGAGTTGCTATTTCTAATCATATGTTTGGGGAAAGTATGTTAGGTCCCCTGAGGCTCCTCTCACTATCCCTCTTTCCTTCTCATTCATTCATTGGACCAAGAACAAAAGCACAGATTAGATCTAGATTTTTACGGTTTCTGAAGAACATGTGATGCTTGCATAGCGAGAGATAGATATATAGATAGATAGGTAGATAGATAGATAGATTAAAAGTTATCGCCATGGTGCTGTGGGTTGTTACCAGGGTGTTTCTATGCATTTGCTCTGTACAATATTGCACAAGACAATATTGCACAATATTTTCATGATTTATCACAACTTTTTTCTTTTGACAAATCAACTTATATTCACTAATGTTGTTCAGAAAATAAAATATTTTGAGTTTCTGTTGAACTAATCTCTTTCTAACAACATTTTTTTAATTTGAACTACAAATTTTGACCTGCATGGCAACCAGGTTCCTCTTTGTTAGTTAAACCAACAATATTTTTTTACAGTGTAGGTTTTTTGATGGATTTTTAAGCTTGTTGGTTTGCAGTTGCTGCGAGTGGCTGCTGGGTGGTATCTTACTGGTGCTTTCCTGTGGAAAAGATGATGCTAGGGTGTTTTAGGTGGTTGCCAGGGTGTTACTATGCAGTTGCTAAGATAATCTGATGAGTTTTTTGCATATTGCTATGTAGTTGCTAGGTTGTTCTGGGTGGTTACTAAGGGGTTGCTTAAAGGCTCAAAAGTCTTTGATATTCTAGTCTAGATATGCCTCAGGTCCCTCTTTTAATGTAAATCTGTTTTGTTTTTTTCTCCGAAATTGCCATACCCTGATTTAAAGCACAAATGAAATGTGTTGGGTTAAACACTGGTTAATGGTTTGTTCAAATCCTTTACATTAAGTATAAACAATAGTAATACAGTAGCAAGCACTCATTCTTCTTCTGCATTATTCATTTTTTTTCTTTTAATTTAGGCAAAGTGATGCTATAACTGTCTACTGGCACTTACAAATCAATCCTTTTAGAGAAAGGGAAGGTGTGTGTGTTTGTATCTTAAGTGGCCTCATGGTACTTGATATGATTTCTGTGTTCATTGATGGGTGGGCACGCTCTCTCTCTCTCTCTCTCTCTCTCTCTCTCTCTCTCTCTCTCTCTCTCTCTCTCTCTCATTGCCGTGTTGGGTTGTATCAGTCGGATTTGTGAACGTGAGAGCGCATGTGTGTCTGCAGTGCTGCTTGGTCATTTGAAACGGCAGTCTCTGCCTCCTCTCGGACCGTATGTGTGTGCGAGTGCGTGCATGTGTGTGTCCGTCCTCAGGGAGGAGGGAGTCTAACAGGCTGTTGGAGATCAAAGAAGAGACGTTTCATTTGGATCAAGGACGAAGCTTGAACAGTGCTTTGGGATTTCTGAACGGAGGGGAAGACGCTGAGGAGAGAAGTAGGGAGCGTACGGCCACGGGAACGGGAAACTATTGTACAGTGTCCTGTGAAAGAGTATACAATACATTTCTTGAGCGTTAACTAAACATTGCCTGGACAATTTTGGTGGTGTTATAGAGCGTGACGATTGCCTTTAGGGTTTCGGCACGCTACTTGAACATTACTTAAACGCTTGTTTGCAGTATAGACATCATGGCTGTGCAACTGATGCCCGAATCTGCCGTCTGCCTGCTTATGGTGAGTACGGTGCTCTTTGAGCCAACTCTAATGCACACACTTAAACACACCCTCGGGATTTAGTTTTATGAACTAGCTGTCACATTTGACCTGATGGGTTTGACTGCTGCTCAGTCTTTCTTTTTTTTTTCTTTTTTACTTACACACACACAAAAGCAGAAGCACGTGCACTCTGCAGCACCGCCACCAAACGCTGACCGAATTGCAGCACGCCACACTAACATTGCAGTGAAAAACCTCTGACAGGTGCCCTGACATCAGCATCTAGGAACAAACCCTCGCCGTATGTCTTGTACAACTACCTCTGCTTCGAGAGAAATCTGGAGTTCAGCGGATGCACATTTGCAGAGTGTGCTTTTCAAACACTGGGGTCTTATTACTGCACGATGGGCTTCTTTTTATTAGTGCTGATTTTTGTTTCGCTGACTTTGTGTATGTGTGCGCACTCAACCTGTTTGGCTGAATAAGGTGTTTGGCCTCTTTTTTTTTTATCTGGGAATTGTGTGAAATCAGGTGGATGATGATTATTGATTGTGTGCACCTGTTTCAACACCGTTGAGTTTGTCTATTGTGCTTTTGAAAGGTGTGAAGAAAGGTTGTGAAGCTGAAAGAGAGAGGGGGTGTGGCGTAGACTGGTGTAGGATCACCTCTGGAAAGATAAGGAGAACGCATGTCACTCGCCTCACCCCTCTGCCCTACCTGTAACAGCTGTCTGTCTCCATGGAGATAGGCCACGGGAGATAGACAGGGAGAGAGAGAACGAGAGAGCAAAGTGCTCTGCAAATAAGCTTTCATCTTCTATTTCTCATTTTCTTTTATCTGCTTCTATCACCTCTGACACTGGAGTTCAGAATACCTTGGAATCAAATCCAAATCCACAATTGCTTCAGACGATCCATCCAGGGATGCAGTGATATAGGAATTTGGGCTGTTACTGATATGAGATGCACAAATAGCTTAAAGGGATAGTTCACCCAGAAATGAAAATGTTGTCATTTACTCACCCTCAAGTTGTACCAAACCTGTATTAGTTTCTTTCTTCTGTTGAACACAAAAGAAGATATTTTGAAGAATGTAGTTACTCAAACAGTTGACGGTAGCCATTGACTTCCATAGTAGGAAAAAAAAAATACTATGGAAGTCAATGGGGTCCATCGACTGTTTGAGTAACTACATTCTTCAAAATATCTTCTTTTGTGTTCAACAGAAGAAAGAAATTCATACAGGTCATTTAAAATGCTGTAATGTACAGTAAAAAAAAAAAATAAGAAGAATTGTGGATAACTGTGGATATCTATTTTTGTATGCTGGCATAGAATAAGTTTGCTGTTTGAACTGAAAAATCTTAACAATATATACCTTATTGATCATTGCTACTATTAGTTTTTTATGACGATGATATAATTTTTTATTTATAATAATACATTTTTTAATTTGTATGAAATTAGATAAATAATTGTCTATGAAAATTTCCTGGAGTATTTTTATTTAAATGACCTTTGCCGTTATCTAATGCGTCACATTATAATGTTGTTATGCCTAAATTCACTTGTAGCATTGATTTTAGATTTTAGTGTTTCATATAAAATATATTTCATTTATTTTAACAAAATAGTATAGAATTTATATATTCTAAAATTTCTATCTATCTATCGATTATCGAGATGTTTATACAGTATAAATATATATCTTCTGTTCTCCTTGTCCTTGTGAAGTTCTCTCGCTCTCTCTCTCAGTTTCTCATCGTTCAGAAATGTTGCCAGGACGGTCAGATGATTCACACATACACATTCGCACATGCGTGCCGTTTACATATAACCCCCATTCCAAATATAGACAGCTGAACGTGTTGAGTATTCCTAAAGGCTCTTCATCGCTCCTTGTTTTTAGGCAGAGATGATTGCATTTTCTTCGTATAATTTATTCATTATACTGCCTCAGTGGCTGTATGTTTTTATAAAGCCAGAGTGCACATTCATTACACAAGTACATCATGTTAAATCTTTGGTAACACGTGAAATATTAACATGATTTTGGGCTGCTTTTGGATGAATATTAATGATGTATCTGCAGTGAGCATTAATATTTCAGTCAGAACGTTAATTAAGATGCTTGACATTTGTAAGAGGCAAGAAACCACAATAAAACACAAGCATGAATCCATGGTAAACACTGTGGCTGTGTCATTCTCATTCTTTCTCACTCTGAGGGAGACATCTGAGGGTAAATGCCTGCCAACCAGGCCTCCTTCCTCTCGCTCTCCAATAAAAGCAGCAAACACTTCATATTTTCATTCATCTCCTGCATTTCTCTGAGACACTCAGACATGATTCAATGTCACGGTGACATCACTGCACACATCGTTTTCCTTTGAAGCATAAAAACCTAGACGGTAAAATATGATCAAAGTTATCGGTCGATCTCGGGGGATGCTGCAAATTATGCGCACGGTATGAACAGAAAACTGCCTCTTTTTTCGCTGTTTACGATTTGCATGTATCATGGGACTGTAGAATACTGTAGAATTCATAAATAAAAAAAGTAAAACTGAACATATTTAGCTGTTTTTTCCCCCCAGGACATTGCACTCGATCTGAGCAGTAAACTGGATTATTTTATTTGTCGTTTATAATTTGAATACATCATGGGACATTTTTTGGGTGATTCTACACACAGACACACACACATACACATTATAGTCTCACCAGGGCTGCATTTATTTGAATTAAAAAATAAAACCGTAACATTTGAAAATATTATTACAATTTAATATAACTTTTTAATTGTAATACATTTTAAAACGTAATTTATTCCTGTGATGGTAAAGCTGAATTTTCAGCATCATTTCTTCAGTGTCACATGATCCTTCAGAAATCATTCTTATATGCTGATTTGCTGCTCAAGAAACATTTCTTATTGTTGACAACAGTTGCTTAATATTTTTGTAACACCGTGATAGATTTTTTTCATGATTCTTTAAAGAATAGAGAGAACAGTATGCATTTAAAATGGAAATCTTTTGTAACATTATAAACATCTTTACTGTCAATTTTGATCAATTTAATGCATCCTTACTGAATAAAAGTATTAATTTCTGTAATACTCTGAATACATTTTTTGGGACAACATTAACACCTAATTAGCCTCTGTTTGTCTTATACAATCGAATATAAATAATAATAGCACTTAGCATTTCACCTGCATGTGATAATGCAGAATTCATGGATTTATGACACAATGTCTCAGATGGTGACACACCCACACGCCCCACACAGCATGCAGTTCCTGTACTAACCCATCTGTTCGATTACCATGGTTACAAAATGGTATACGACCCCACCTATCAGCTCCTCCTTAGCCATCTTGCCATCAAACTAAATCAATTTACAGAAACAGCCTGTGACTGAAGATGATCACTTAATAGGCTCATATCTTCTGCTTTGTCAAAATATTTTATTTATTGTTTACTCACTTTTACAGTGGCTCTGACAATTACTCACCATCACACGTCTCTCTCTTCTGATGAATACTTTATTAGTTTCAGTATCCTGCTGTCATATCATGTTATCACCAGCACAGTGTATGCAGCCTAACAACGCAAGCTTTCATTCTGAGAAAATCCGTTCCTTATGGGAACTGCATGTGCACATAAGTGGCATCTGCGTGCACTGTGCTCCATCATCAACCCATATCTCTTGCTCTGTACTATTTGTGTCTAGATCAATAGCCTTATCTGTCTGAGATCCTCTGGGATGTTCAGTACAGCTCTGCGACCATCAGAATCTCATTACGACTGCAGATAGTGGTTTTAAATGCATGCTGGTATTGGGCTGGCATTTTTATTTGTGTTGTGTGACTAGCGTTCCTGTAGCTTAAACAGTAGCACATGGCGCTTAGCAACTTCAAGGTCATGTGTTTGAGTCTGATGCGTGGATGAACTGAAAAAAGAAATGTATAGCTTGAGCTTTGAGTCACTTTTGATAAAAGCATCTGCCTGTAGCAGCATGTGAATGTGAGTGAATTGTTCAAAGTAGCAGTGAAATGGCATATAAATGATAAGGGACACTTAGGATAATCGGAGAGCTGGTAAAATAATTGAATACTTTTATCAGAATATCTAAAACAAGTTCATTTTGTCTGTGTCTATAAAATGTCGTATGATCTTTTGTCTAAAACTAGTGTTTATTTTTTTTTAGCTTTGTTTATTAATTATTCTTAATGGAATTATTCTTAAAGGTAGTTGAAGCTGCCTAAATATGGATTTTGGACCATTAAAAATGGTCATCATTCACTTGCATTACATGGAGAAAAATTCTGGAATGTTTTCCACTAAAACCTTAATTTCTCTTTGGCTGAGGAAAGAAAGTTATATACTGTACATCTTCTTGGATGGCCTTGAGGTGAGTAAATAATCAGGAAATCAGCGATTTTAAAACCGTGTTTAGATCACTGCAGTTTTAAAGAGAAAATACTCAGCAATGATGTTGACTTATAAATTTTCACATGGTTTGTCTTAAAGCATAATAAAAACACCACATAGACATATAAACAACATTTAAAAACTTGATTTTCACCACAGCGGGACTTTAACACAATACTTTAATTCCCAAAATAAACAAACAACAAAACGAAAATAAAGCGGCAATCCCTCACGGACAACTGCTGCATATAAACATAATAAAACCACAACATAAATGTCCCAGGCCTGGTCCTCTCTTGTCCTTCACTGTCGTCCCTCCTCCTTTTATCCATCCTGAGCTCCTCTGTGAGACACTCGAGACCGGTGTGGCGCTCAGGTCACGTTCATTAGCACTCTCTCCACCGGCCTCGCTCCGTTCCCACGGCTCTCGCCCCCGCCCTGCTTGCCACACTATTCCTTTAAGTTTAAACCGAATCGTGCATAATACAATATAGTAATGTTGCAAACGTTTCATAGTGAACGTGGTAGTTCTTAGCAAATTTGCATATTGGGATTGTTGTATTCGCTCTGACAGTCCCTG